GTGAAATATTGTTTTTATCCTAGTTAATATGTGTTTCCCCTGTCTACTTTGTGTGCTGTTATTTAGCCAGTGTGACTCTCTGATACTCTTAATTAACATAATACATACATTTCCAGCCTTCTATTTTTATTTTTTTCCAACCTTCCACTTTTAAATCCTGTGTATTATTTGAGGTGAATTTATTACACACAATACATATTTTACCACTGTTTCTTATTCATTTTTATAATTCCCATCCTTTATTTAGAGATTTAGATCATTTATGTTTAGTATAGTTTCCTAGGTGGTCATATTTAAATCCATTGTCTTGCAGTTTACTTTTTATTTATTCCATCCACTCATTCTCCCTGTCTGATTCTTTTCCTTCTTTCTTAGCTCCCGTGCACAACTTCTTATCCTTCACTTCACACATAAAGTTGTAACTGTGTCCCATCCTCAGGTCACTATGAGCATGGCTTCTGTAGTTTAAAATCTAGGAACAAACAAAATGGTACTGGAGGAAGACTCATGGGGAAGGTGACACCTTGTTCTGAGCAGCTTAGCAGTAGCGCTGCATTCTGAGAAATGAGCCATGAGGCGACTGTCGCTCTGTGAACATCACAGGTGCACTTAATGCCAACTGAAGCGGTACAGGGTGGTACACACGGGCCGCACACTGGTCTGCACTCATTCTCCCATGAACCGGAAGTCATGACATCGCACATAACTGTTAGTGTGTTTCACTATTTTACAGCACAGGTAAAATTAGCAAGGGGGGTCCTCGGCATATGTTGGGTTTTCCTGGAATAGATAAAAGCAACAGCCATGGCAGTGATTTAATTGTGCTTGTTCTATGCCCACATTGTCAAGAACACAGCATCCAGGGGGCTTTCTATGGAGTTACCGTGTTCCCCCACATGCATGTTAAAACCGTAATCTCAGTGGCATTTGCAGGTGGTGCCCTGTGTGGTAAATAGGCTGGAGAGCCTGTTGGCATCCGAGTGATGGCATTCATGCCTTAAGAAGAGAGGAAGAGGTCAGAGCCTCTCCCACATGTGACAATGAGGGTGTGTCTGTCTATAGATCAAAAATGGGCTTCGCCAAACACAGCCCATGCCAGCACCATGACCTTGGACTTCCTGGCCCAGACCTGGGGCAGATACGTGCTTGTTGCTTAAGCCACACTGTCTATAGCGGCCAGACCCAGTTGCAACAGTCCTCCCATGGAATCACAGCTGCCTGCACCGATCAGAACTGTGAAAGGCGGTGAGCACTTAGTTCTTCACAGCCCAAACACACGACAAGGCTTTCACCTTGTTTATCTGGCTCTCTTGCCCTTCAATTATTTTATAATTTTGAAATGCACACTCTGAATGAACTCTTTCCTGTGAGTTGGGGCTCTTCGTGTTCTCTGTTGTTGGTGATGAGAATCAGTGTCTTAGTGGTTGCCTCTGTCATGCTACAAGGACAGGGGAGTCAAAGTGTGTTGTTCTCTTCCAACAGATCGATGCCAGGGCCGTATGCTGGAGATGAGGTAGTAGTTTCTATTTTGTTGACTGCTGTCATTAACTTTGTAAAAAGATGACTGGATACTATAAATTTATTACTTTCCTGTATTAGTTACCTTTCTCTTGTTGCTGAGACAAAATACTCAACACCCAAAGTTAAAGGGGGAAAGGTTTATTTAGCTCACAGTTTGTGGAGGTCTCAGTACATAACTGGCTGGCTCCAAGTCAGGGTGGCACATGGCAGAGGGGTGACAGTTCATGGTGGTGGAAGACAGCAAAAGCAGTAAGGGAGAGAGAGACAAGCCTCTTTTTTTCCCTCATATTGTATGCAGACTATGCCATAGGAAGGGTGTAGCATTCACACTCTTAATCCCAGCACTGGACCATGAATCAATCACAAACTCTGATTCAATTGCTTCTGAAAGCCTTGCTCCCGTTGACTGCATGAGACTTTGGGGGACATCCAGACACAAACCATAACAATCCCTATAAGCACAGGGTATTTAAAATGTTTAATTTAAAATGATAGGCTGACACATTTCCACAAAATAAATAATCAGTATAATTTATTTAGAAGAAGAGGAATAGGAATATAAACTCAATGATTAAAAATGACAGTAACTTATTTCTGAGATTTAGAAAGCTTGTTCCTATATTTTATTATGGATGATGGCTGGCTTCATGTGCTAGATACATTTAAAATCAACTAGAAATTTCATTTAAAAATTAATATTCATAGTACAACAGGAAGGATTTCTTTGCCATTAAGCTGACAGTATGAAAAGTAATAATTTCATAGTGTAGTTTTACAATTCTTTTCATGGAAATACAAGACCAGTAGTGGTTTGAAGGCCACTGATCTAGAATATATTCCCAAGAAGACGGGCGATGTGCATAACAGGAGATAGATACGTTTCACTGCAGTGTGCCTTGCTAACTGTTCTGCATCGTGACTCACTCACGTCCCAACATTGATAGAAAACCTGACTGTACAAATTAAAAAAATACTATTTTATTTTATACCATTCTGTGTTGCAGTACTCTGTTAATTAACTTTATATTACTTAGTGAGGTTGAAATCTGTTAATGCTTAGAGGCTTAAGTTTTCCTCGTCTGTGACTGCTTATATTTGCCTGTTATAAATTTATAAGTCTTTTAGTATTTTTTAGGTACAATTTCTTTTTTGTTCAAAATTTCTCCTCTTGATATATTACTATATTTTAATGTGATGGCATGTTTTAGACATTCAAAAGTTAAAAATAATAATTGAGTCAAGATACATTTAATAAATTCTTCCCCATTACAAGGTAACAATCTATCTTCTTAAGTTTTGGTTGCACTGGTTGCATGACATTTATTTGGGATTATATACACTTACGTGCACATATATACACATGTTTGAGAAATTATATGTAACTATATGTAAATACTGACAAATTATTTAAACAATTGAAAAACTGACAGTTGAGTTGTAGCTGATAGACTGTTCACACCCATTGAGATTCAGAGGTACGCATGTGAAGTGGAGATTAAAGTATCTACCCCCCTTGCTGTTGTCAGAATTGAATTCACAGAAGTACTTTTAAAATACAGCAGAAAGCATAAGAAATGCATATTTAGAGCTTAGTAAATATCAGGTATTACTCTATTATTATTTTCCACTGTTTCTATCTGATATCTCAGTTATGCTAACATCATACAATAGCATGAAATCCATTTTACAGTTCTAAAAATACTCACTCTATCCATAGTCGTAATCTATTTTATAATCAAAATATAATTTGAACATGTACTTCTTTTCTTCCTCAGCATTTTAAATGTTATATTTTTATGAATCTTTTAATGAAAGGATTGATTTTGTTCACACTGGTTTTCTTTGTTTAACTTATACTCACTTTATACTACTTTTTTTGACAGGACTGGTGAACATGACATTTTTCTAATTTTCAAGTTGATGGTGATTGCTCTTTACCCATTAGTAGGTATGGACACCAGGCAGCTACCTTTCCTCTAAGAATCCTTTTGCATCCCTACAAGGGGTCCCACTGCATTGAGTCAGACATATCTTATAGCTTTCATTGTAATTGCTCTTTATGATCCATAAACTATTAGGACCTGTGTTTTTAATATCTGAATGGCTGAGTATTGGTGGATATTTTGTATTACCTTCTAATAGTATATTGTTGTCAACAGAAAGTAGATTGATATGAAAATGTTTATTTTTAAAGACCTTTGAATCTCAGTGGATATTAAATTTTTAAGAGTTGGAAACTCTAAAAAGAGAAAATGAAAAAATTTTAATCACTGGGTCAGATTTTTATGACTATTTATTGATCAAGATCGATGCTTTATGCTATTCAAATATTTTTGCTGTAAATAATTTTCTTTATTCTTTTTACAATATTTTACTAACTTACCAATTATGGCAATGTATTCGTTTTTTTTGTGTGTGTGTATGTTTCTATTTGTTATTATATATTCCAAGTCTGTGTTGTTATGTGTTTATAGGATAGATGCTTTTATGGTTCCTTGATAAGGTACTCTCCTTTTTATGAAAAAATATTCATATGTTCCGTATATTTTTGTTTTTAAAACAGAGTATTTATTTTGTTTTTGGTATTGTTACACTATCTTCTTTTACTCACTAATATTTTACTTTTTTGCTTCTTTTTTATCTTTTCTCTACTGTCATTATTTTTGAACACTTATACACTTTAAGTGCCTTTTAACAAGATTTTGGTGGGTTTTCTTCTGTTTCTTTCTGATAATCTGTATCTTTAACAAGAGAGCATATTACTTATCTGTTAATATTTGTTTGTGGAACTGGGGATATAACTTGAGGTCTTCGCACTGAGATACATTCTCAGCCTTTTCCTCTCTGTTTTTTATTTGGAGACAGGACCGCGCTGAGTTAGTGAGTTCTCCAAGCTGGGCTTGAACTTGCGAATCTCCTGCCACAGACCCCAGACTGCTGGGATGATGGGTCTGTGACACCATACTTGGGTAGTGTATTAATCTTATTTGCTACATAATTGGAATTATGCTACCTTAGGTAAAATTTTAATTCACCCTTTTCTTCATTTAGAGCTACTCATTTTTTCCATTGCTTGTGGCTTGCTCACTTCACTTTGTTGTCAGTTTGGAGATTTTGTGTCTTAATATAAAAGAATCAAAACACTTACTCAAAGTACAAACCTAATCAATTACTTTATCTGAAGTTTATGACTAACTTCATCTTTTTACCAACATAATTTTAATATCTTATTCTGACCATTTTCTGAACTCTGTTATTTTGCTTAGTATATTATTTCCATATTAGCTCTTAACAAACAAGTGGCTTATTTTATTTTTAATTTTTTTTTTATTTTTAGAAAGGGTAGAACTAATAACTTATTGTCATTTATAATCAGATGGCAGTTGGGTATATAGTTTCCCACTTCATATTTTTTGTAAATTAAAAAACTTCTAAGTTTTATATAGCTGATAGCAGGTTATGTTCCTCAGCAAACACAATTAGGTTAATTCACTAATGGTGGCTTCAAGCTTTTCCTTATTAGCACCAGAAAGCTCACTCGCCTTCTCACCCTTTTTAAAAAACCAGAAGGTTGCCATGCATTTGACTTCCCACTCTGCAGCGACATCCTGACAGTCATCCACATCTACTTCAAGGGACAACGTGTTGGAATATTTTTCAGACAGAGAATGAAGGAAAGGCTTGATCATTCTGCAAGGTCCACATCGCATGGCTGAGAAATCAGCTACTGCAAATTTATCCCCTGCACCAGCCAAGGTTTGCTGAAAGTGCTCTCTGCTTTCCAACTGCTGCACCGTTCTGGCTGCTGGGGGCCTGAGGAGCTACCGAAGCCAGAGATGGTTGCGGATGGAAGGCGCGGGATGCAGCTCCAAGTGGTTTATTTTCTAGTAAATATTTCTCCAATTTCCTCTGTGTATCTTTGATACTTTTCCTATAATACTCCTTACTTCTTTGTCCCAGTGTTTAAAATCATGGTGCCACCTCTACTGTCCTCCTAGCTATGGTGACAAAATGGAAGGTTTTTAGTCTTGATTTTTCTCTGAAAACCTCTTCATTGTGTGTCACTTTTGTGGGATGACAGTTCATGCCATGCAAAAGGAAAATACTGAAAAGTTAGTAATTTCAGGTAAAATGATGACGAGCCCAAACTGATTGCAGAAGGACATCCGAGTACACCCAGATCAAGAAGCTGAACCATCTGCAAAGAGGCTTAGCCACAAGAGCCGCTGGCACGCCACCGCTGCCTCGGGGTTTCCCAGCCCTCTGGGGAGTGGGAAGATGGCCAGGCAGGCACGTATTCTAGGTTTCATACTATTCTGTAAAGTGACATCAGATTTTTGTTTGTGTAAAGGTTTTTCTCTTTGTTTCTTCTGTTTTTCAGAGTCATTCTGAAGTGCAGAATTTTTTAAAAATTATATTTCTTTGCATTCAGGTGCTTTCCGATTGAAGATGTGTGTATTCTTCCAATTCAAGTATATTTTTATGCAGACTCTCTTTAAAACTCGTAATTTCTCATTCAAGAGTCTACCACTTCTCTTTTGGGTCTTTTTCATATTATCTGTTAAGATATTTTATTTTCATAATCTCTCTTATTTTCATAGTATCTCTCAAGAGCTATTCATACACTATATTTATTTTATTTCAGAAATTCAACAATGGCCGTTATATTGCATATTGTTGTCTCCAAAGTAGTTGTTCAGATTATTAGATATAAGCATGTTAAACTGGTCAAAAAATTAAGGATTAATTATTCCTTTCAATAAACCAGTAGAAATTAGTAGTACAATTATCTTAACTATCTGGTATATATATATATATATATATATATTTTTTTCCTTCCTTGTTTCTTTCTTTTCCCCTCTCCTCATCCCAGTTGTTCTTTCCTTTTGAGCAGTTTTTTCCCTTTCACAATATCTATTGCACCTTTCAGATATTATTTGCTGTTTCAGGTTCTTACACTACAGAGACAATATGATGTTTACACATGAGGGTCTGATTTATTTCACTTGTGAGTATGGTCTCTAGCTGCATCCATTTACCTATAAAAGCCTCAAGTTTATCTTCCTTTATAGCTGAGTTATAATTCGCTGTATGAAAATGTCACATTGTTTTTATCCATTCCTCAGTTGTGTATTTATTTTTGTAGGTTTTCTTCTCAGTAATTTTGTTCTCTATCTTTCTGTTTAGTAAATTTTCACTTGCTGATATCTTTTTTTGTTTGTTTGTTTTTTTTCCGGTACCGAGAATTGAACTCATGACCTTGCACTTACCAGGCAGGCTCTGTGCTGCTGAGATAAATCCCCAACCCCTCTTGCTGATATCTTATTGTTACGTAATTCTTTGATACATTTTAAAATTTCTGCCATCATGCCTGTAATATGTACAGTTATTAGTACCTTTTAGTCTATATGTAATGTTATTTTATGTGAAGTCACATGTATGCCTTTGTTAATGCTCATTTTCCTGTCCTTCCTGCTGTTCTAGTCCAAATCATGGAGCGTATTTTCATTTATGCAAAGAATTCCCTTTAACACTTCCTTTATGATATCTAATGATGTTAAATTACCTGTTTTATTTTATGTTTACATATTTTCCTTTGATTTTTATAAAGCTCATTTCCGTTATTTGTATTTGGCACTTGTAAATGCATAGTTCCACAGTCTTTGATCTTTCATCATTTCTGTTGGACAGTCTGCTGTCATTTTTCTGTTGCTCTCCAAGTGAGCTATTGCTCCGAGTCGTTTTTTTTAATCAGTGCTTCTATGATGGTCTTAAGTGTGGTTTTTTATTTAACTCATCCTATTTGTGCCCCTTAAAATTTTTGAACATATGAGTTCTTTTTTTTTTTTTAGTAATGGAGAATAACACAGGGCTTTCATACTGAGCTACAATGTCAGAGATTTTAATTTTTATTTTGGGACATGGCCTTGCTAAGTTGTCCAGCCTTAGCTCAAACTTGTGATCCTTTGGTCTCAGCCTCCCAGAGTGCTGGGATTACAAGCATGTGTCAAGGTACCTGGGTGCATTCATCTTTTGTATAAGTTTGTAAAACAACTCTTGGCCATAAACTCTGCAAATATCCTTTTCTTTCTGTCCCATTACTTCTCTGCTTTCCTTCTGCATCTCCAGTGACGGAGTCTTTAGTTGCTATCACTGCCCTTGTGTCCACTTAGTTTCCTGCCAGGTGAACTTGGTCTACTCTTTACCCCTCTATTTTGTGTATAGTTCAGATGTTTTTGCTGATTTATCCTCAGTTCTTTAGTGTCCTCTTCTGTCCACCATTTAATTGGCCTCTAGGCTCATCAATTAAGTTCTTATTTTCTAATAATTTATTTTTAGCTGTAGAATTTCCATTTTTCTTTATACTTTAAATTGCAGTTCTCTAACAAAATTTCCAATTTATTGATCTGATATTTAATCTTTCAGAAATTTTCTTGATTATATTACTCACAACTATTTTATAGCCTTTGACAATTTCTAGGTCTCTATCAATTCTAGGTCTGAATCAGTTTAACTTTTGTCTTATAACTTTCTGTTTCTTGAAAGTTTGGTAATGCTTAGGTAAATACCTGATTTGAATAAAGCATTTTAGAGGTTATGAATGATGTTGTTTTCTTTAGAGAGTATTTTTGTTTTCCTTTTAGGCAGAGTTGCAAGGAACTGATCAACTTTATTCATCCTGGGATTAAATTAATTAATTAAATTAATTCTATTAAATTCTTATTTATCATATTTTTCATCAGTTATGTTACTTTTCATTTCTAGTAATTGATTTTTTCTCTCAAAATTGTCACTTTTTCTTATATCTATGGCCAATAATTTTTTTATGAAATTACACAGAACATAAATGCAGCAATTTCAGAGAATTTCATTTTGTTCTTGTATTTCTGCTTTCTCTTTAAACTCTTGTTTTTGAGGCAAGATCTTCCCACGTAGTTCAGACTGGCCCTCAGGTCACTGTGTCACCCAGGTTAGCCTATACTTTGTGCCAACCCCCTTGCCTTGGTTTCCCTGTGCTGGGATTGTAGGCATGCACTGCCACACTGGCTTGTCTCTAATTCTTTTTTCCATTTCTAATTACTGCTGTGGCTGTCTCTTGTGACCTTCAGCTATTTTTCATGATCAGATTTTCTGTGTATTCATATCTATCTTCATAGTGATAGCTTTTTCTCCTGTACAAATCACACACTCCTTGGATCATGGAAATAGCCTTATGGACATTGGTATGTTCCCCTGAGGTTCTAAGAATTTTAGTAGCTGGAAACTTTTTTTAACTTTATCAACAGGCAATTTTACACAACAAAAGTAGTAGAAATTCTGGTCCTTTACCACCCATTCATGAGGTTAGCTTGGGATGTTTGTCCATTGATAGAGTGTACTTCTCAGTGATGCCGTGGGTAGGTGACGAACCGCTTGCTGGTTTCCTGAGATAGAGATGTGGATGTTTTTATGATGACCTCCCTGCTCCAATCACGGAATGAATGGTCCTTTCAGAGTCCTGGTTTTATGCTATATCCCTATTCCACTTGCTGCTTTGGATGGCCACCTGTCCCACAGAGATGGACAGGCCAATCACAGCCTGAGGTTCCGGGGCTGGGCCACATCTGAGCCTGAAACCTCCTGGGTCAGCTCCGTACAAGTCCCCACACCTACACACTGGCTTTGCAATTCAATCCGGTTTATAATGCCTGGAGACTTTATTTCCCCTCCTCGAGCTCTGTAGTTACCTACCACGTACCCCAGCTTTTTGTTGTCAAAAGGCCTGCATCTGTGGGTTGTGGTATAACTTTTATGTCTTACTCCTAGTAGGTTAGACTTTAAAATCTTAAAATTCAGACTTTTAAAAATCAAGCTGTGGTTTTCAGGACACTTCTTGAAGTGCAATTTAAAAGACTTGAAATAAAAAAGATGGGAACTATTACTTAATTCCCGAGTCTTCTGTGGAGTCCCTTTCTGGAGACACCCGAGCCAGAGCAGGGGACAGGAAAGGGAAACGCAGGTGGGACTGAGTGTGCGGAATATTCACGCAGACTTCAGTTTACTACCCCGCTATACTTGCTTTGTTTATAACCACCAGTCAACAATAATTCACATATTTATCATCACTGAGTCACAGCCACCTTTCAAAGGGAACAAAATGACAATATCCACCAGTTATCATGTATTTATTTATTTGTTTTTGGTATTAAGAATCAAACTCAGGACCTTGCACTTGCCAAGCAGGAGCTGTGCCACTGAGCTATATCCCCAGTCCATAAATATTAAATCTAATTTGATTTATACTAAAACAGAGCACGCAAATGTATTGAAATAAAGTAACAATATTAGGTGCAAATTATTACTTTTTAGAACTACTCAACGAATACTGATGCATTAAATCTCTGACAAAAAATATAACCACCGTGAAAACAAACAAACAATGTTCTTCTGGAGGAATGGAATTATTTACTGATACCTGGTTCATACTATTACGGTAACATCAGTCAATCATGATTTACTAGATGGTAGTATTGATACCCAATTTTTAAGTGTACAGAACTTCTATATTACGAATCACATGTGGTAGCCAAATAATTCAGATAATCTCTAGTAGTGTACGACCTCCTGATACACATTAGATGTAATCTCCCTGTCTCTAATCTGGAAAGGATGTCATTAAATCACAGCTCAACAGTGAGACTGGTGATGGGGCTGGGCCACAGACTGCTTGCCTAGCATGTGTGAGGTCCTGGGTTTGACCCCAGCACTACACACGCACGCACACACAAATTAACTGCCACTCTGTGTGTACTTAGAAAACTCTCATGGAAATTGAGAGAGTGATGGATCCATAAACACATTTGTGATTTTGACAGAAGGTTAAATAATAAATGTATGGTTATAATACACACACTGAAAGATATACACACTTACAGAAAGGAGATCAGGTTGCAGACTGTTCTTTTATTGGCGTTTCCTGTCAATAGCTTGTCCAGAATACTTTTAAAATTCTTTTACTTCTTTCTCTAAGAGGTAACTGAGCGAAACCAAAAGTTTTTATTGGAGGCAGCTAAAGACATGTGAGCCCTATTTAGAAAATAAAGTTTGATTGAAGGATAAATGACTTGCAGTGTTCTTCATATTAATTTAAAGTAAATTAAATGAAAGCTTTGATATGAATAGAATTGATTTTCTTTGCTGACTTTTTATTGGCAGCCAGTTTTCTATATTTAAACTTGGTAGAGGTTTTATAAAAATCTATTTCCTGCTTTTAAAAGTTTCATTTAAGAGATCTAGAAATTCTTAAGAAACAAAACCCCAAATGTTACTTGCAGTTGAAATTGCTTTGCTAGGGGGTCGCGGTGGTGAGGGGCAGACCCTTGAGGAGAGGAAGGGAGGGCCAGGCTTGGATGTGCTGGGGAAGGCGCAGACGCACCAAGCTCCGGGGAGCTGTGCAGGAGGCGGGCCGTGGAGTACTGAGGGTGAGCCCGAGCTCAGCTCACTCTGGTGCTGCTTGTGTCCTTCGCAATGGGCAGTGGGGAGGGGCAGCGGCTCCCTGAGAGCTGCATGGGGATGGCTGAGAGGGTTCTGAGCGGCGGGCTGGTGGTCAGGCCCCAGGGGGCTCGGCACCAGCTGAGAGTGGACAGCAGAGAAGCCTGTGGTGAAGAGTGACCCCCAGGCAGGGAGGAAGCTCCGTCCTGGGCTGGTGCGCCTCCTGGGGGTGGAGGTCCCTGCCGTTGGAGCTCAACCCTCTGAGCCACCCACCCTCCAGACTGGCGCGACCTCGTCCAGAGGACTGCCCAGGCCCTGGGCTCCGGCTGCCTGGCCTGGCTCACCAACACGCCCCCAGGCTTGGCACCTGGTGGGCACCTCATGAACACACGGTGCTGGCAGGTACCAGGGTCCTCGTGGAAGAGAGCCCAGTGTGCGGCGTGCGTTGTGGAGCGCAGCGATGCGTGCCATGCAGTGCAGAGCATCACGCGAAAGAGGTGCCGAGTCACGCGGGGTAAGCGTCCGAGGTCTGTGGAGAGACTCCTCGCGGGAGTGCTGACTGCCTGTCCATCGAGGAGGGGGACGCAGCGGCACCCCTGTGTCCCAGCCTCCACGTGGAGTTGCTGTCATGTGTATCAGACTTGGAGACCTGCTCACACCCAGGCAGGCGGGGCTCCGGATGAAAGAGCCTCTTCGGCTGCTTCACTAGAGAAATGAGGGGCCCTTGGGCGAGAAGTGCAGGCTGGACAGCCGCTGGGGAGAGTCTCCACGGCCGTGCAGAGCCGCACGGCGCAGCCCAGTGTGGTCGGAGGGACACGCACTCCTCCCTCACAGAGCCTGGGCGAGAGCACTTGCAGCGGCTGGAGACGTGGTCTGGGAGGAGTCTGTCCTCCGTCCCCGCGGTCTCACCCAGCCTCCACTTTGCTTGTAGGCCAGGGACCCGCGTGCTCTTCATGCGAACGTGGGTATGGAGGGAGGCAGAGGGGAGGGCAGACTCGCTCTCCAAGGATGAATCTGGTGTACAGGTGCACTTGGGACTCCAGGAGCAAGCGAAGAAGAGGGGCAAGGTCCTTTCACCGGTGAAGGGGAGGACGGTGTGCCTAATGGAAACACGCCGTGTCCAGCTGTCTCATCTGCAGTCAGCGACGAGGACAGTGTCTGTCTGTGCATTTGTTTCTCTTTGATGTGTTTCAGCTTTCTCTACAGACGTGAAGAGTCCTCCTGACCTAGCCCCCAGGCTCCCGAGGGGAGGGCCAGGCCACACTGGCAACCAGGACCACCCATCTGGACCCCAAAACACCTTAGCAGGGAGGGTCTGCCTGGACCTGCTGTGTGTAAAGCAGGTCCCTTCCTACCGACCTGATGCCCGTCTTGCTCACGGACCACTTTCAGCCAAGTTCAGCTGACAGTTCCCCGCTCCCCGCTCACACTGGGGACTGGATGCAGGGCCTTCACACTGGGCTCCATCCCCAACCCTTTCAAATGTTTCATTCGAGAGAAGTTTCCTTCAAGTCACTAAACTGCCCAAGCTGGGTGTGAACTTGGAGACCCCCTGCCTCAGCCCCCCAGAGTGCTCAGGTTGCTGGCCTATACAGTCACACCCAGCTTGATCCTGATTCTTGGTTTGAGATCAAGTCAGAGATGGACGTCCTGGTAGTGAGCGCCACATGCATGACCTGGTGGGGACTTCTGCTTCCAGAACCGAGTCAGCACATGGTGGAGGTGGGTCTCCATCAGTCCCTTGGGACCCACGGCTCCTGCCCTCCCTCCAGCACCACTGGGACTGAAGACTTCTGGTTGTCCTGACACAGCTTCCCAAATCACCCTGCGCCAGGCTCACTTTGGCAGACACACTCCAAACGATCCCGCGTGACTGTGTGATAATTATGCACTGTGGACTGGAGAAGCCAGGGGTGTTCAGCTCTCATCAGAAAGTCCTGTGATCACGCCTGCCTGGCCCTCCACGGCGGCAGGGCCTGGCGCTCACCCGAGTGGCTGGGTACACCCTCCCTCAGCTGCTGGCAAGCCACTGTGGCCGACACATCGGGGGTGTCAGCTTTTAATTGTAACTGTCTTGCAGAGCGGTGTTGTTTTAATATCCTGTATAGATTTTTATGTAATACACTTACTTGCAGGCAGCCCGAAGCAAGAATCAATTCTGTGAAGGGCTCTGCTTTTGTTAAAAGCCAATCTTGTTTTAATGATGCATGAAGAAATATTCGAGCATTGACATTTTTCTGTCAGGTTTCTTTTGAAAAATCAATTAAGATAATACTGCTTTGACCTAGTTATCTAGTTAATGCTTATTAGGAATGTAATATGATTTACTGTCAGCATAATAATTTTTGTATCTTATCCCATTAGCTTGTGCATATTTCAAAGTGTATTACACAATGGTCACTTCTTAAAATGTAATGTAGCAGAATGCATTAATTAGATTGACTGGGATCATTAGACAGAAACTATCTCATTGGTCCTTGTATCAAATTTGTATACAACTTCTATCAAGAAATTGCATTATTTACATGCCTAAAATCCTGCTTCTTAACCCGAGAGTGGACTTAGATACTTTATTTTCAACTATCTTGAACAGATTGGAAATAACAGATATTTTGGGATAAAATTCAGGGATCTGTGATTGGGTGCTCACATTTGGCCTGAAATTCAAGCCAAATAAGTATCAAGCAAGTAAAGGCTTGCGTGCCCAGCTCTGGCCCTCAATTTCCTGTGAGCTGTGAGTCCCCAGGCTGCAGCGTCAGGCGTGCGCGCAAGTCCCCGGCTGTGCAGAGCAGAGCGCTGCTCTGAGACAGGGCTCTCCCGCCTTTGTTGCCTCTGTGTTAACAACTGTCAACGGCACTGTCTAGAAGGGCGCACTGGCCGAGACCCTTCCAGGGAAATTATTGATTTCTGCCCATCTGGGACGCGGTGGTCGGGAGCAGCGCTGGGGCTCCGGCTTGCTGAGATGAGCCCAGAGTGAGCCTCCGGCAGCTTTGCAGGCCCTCCCGCCCGGCCGCGGCCCTGCCTCGGTGAAGACTTCTCAGCCGCGCCCTGGGAACCTGCCCGAACGTCACAGCAGCGTGACGTGTGGCATTCTTCAGAAAAGGCATCAGAACTGAGAATGGATAATGTGCCTCACACGCTGGGACTCTCCGCTTCCCTGGACTGACGCCTTTGCAGTTGTTTCCCAGCCAGACCCCACCCACACCCAAAGCACCCGGGAAGCAGCGCCTCTTCCCGAGCTGTCTAGTCCGTCTTCACCTGCCCGGGTCGGGCCTTTGGTGCCGAGCGGCTCACACAGTCCTCTTACGTGGCCATTGCCATCTGAGCTGTTAGTCCCACCACGCAATCAGCGTCTCAGTTCATTCAAGCATCCACGGCTTCCTACACATTGCAGAGTATTAAAAATAAGCCAGCGCCACACATGAAAACCAGGGTGACAGTCAAATCACCTGGTCATGCTATAGGACTTCCTGCCTTCCTGGCATCTTTTAAATTTCTACATTCTCTCTTCTTTACATAACCTTTTCCCGACTCTCGGAGGTCTTAGGACACCATTGTGACTCTGATGTCTGCTCCTCATCATTTCCGACGCACTGGCAAAGTATTTGTGCGGAGTGGCCGCGTTTTCTGGACCAACACGATGAATTTATGTGGGTAGCTTCGGGGAGCCGTTCGTTTCCCGCCTGCTAACATTTTAATTAAAACAGAAAAATCAATGAACATGGACTCTATTTCCTATAGGATACTTTACATTTTCTACTTTTGCATTTAAAATTCAAAGTGATTTTGTTTTCAATTTTAATTTTTTGCTTACGTGCAATTACTCTCCACCCTCCTCCCCCGCCCAGCCCCCTGTGTCTCCCTCTGCCTTAAAGTGCATTTCTCCGGGGGCGTTCAGTGTCCAGAAGGTTGCCGACCGTTCTTAATGCAGACGGCATCTGAGTCCCCCAGGTCTTGATTTGAATGCGGAAGGAGCGATTTGACTAACGGCGCAGCACCCTGGGATGCTAAACCAGAGAAAACGAAAGGAGAGTGCGGCGTGGAGGTGCAGTGCGTGGGCGCGGATGAAAGGCGCACAAAGGGGCGCCGGGGAGAGGCTCCAGAGCAAGCTGAATCGAAATGCACTGTGGATAAAGCCGGCGAGGGGAGCCGGCTCCGCATCTGCATACGGCGGCTCGGCTGCTCTGCTCGGAGGCCGGGGCCGTCACTTTTAAGCACCCAATTAATTGACTTGACAGGAGGTGAGCTCCTTTTGGGGAGATGCTACTGCGGACTGTGGTTCTAATTATGAGAAATATTAATCTCAGATTGAAATTGGGAGCCTAAAATTATTGTTTAATGATCACTGATCAAACGGGTATTCCAAATAAAGAAAATGAGGCCGGTAGACATCAGCGTTCTGATTTGGGTTTTACATTATTATCTCCTGCCTAACTAGGCACTTTTCCTGCCTATCTGAACTCTTTTGCCTTTTAACTGTGCCTGCTGTTGCTATAGTGATGGCATAATTTTGTAATGGTCTAAAAATGACACTGGCATAGATAGTGACAGATAGGAATTAATTCACTAACAAGTAATTATGTAGCGAAATGTTGACTGCCATGCAGAAGGTGCACGGTGACACATTTTCTGTTTTTCAGGGATGGCAGTAACATTAGCGTTGGTCATTAGTGGTAGACATCTCAGTACAGTGTTGGATACAGACTTATATGCAGACCTATTTAGTTACCTGTGTGACAGCCTTGTTCAGGACACCAGAAACAGCTGTCCCAGCCTGTATGAGCCAAAATAATTAGGCCTGTCATCTTCTCGCTCTGATTTCCCCTTCAACCTGCTCCACAAAATGCAAATATTTTGCTTTCATTGTCACACTCACCTTGACATGGATATTGCTTTGGCGCATAACTGGATGAGATGACTCAGAATTTGCATTGTTCGTTCTAATAAATTTGCTTCCCCTTGGCTCGCATGGCAGGACCCATCAGATAAAGTCTCCCGGAGTGTCATCAATCACCAGCCCTGACAGACGGCTTTTGCCTTCATTTGTTACATACGAGAACATGCTTAATTATTTGTCCTGTAATTAGTTGGGAAAATGTCAGGAAATGTCAACTCTCTGTTCGCCGTGGAAGGACCCGGCTTGAAAGCCGGGATGACTGAAGTGTCATTAATGCTGCCTAACTAGACGAGGATCAGCTGGGGAAAAGTGAAGGCCCCTAAAAAAGTAATCATGGTGAGTTACGGAAAATGGGAAAGCAGCACCCAGAGAAAGACGTGTGGCCCATTAGAAACGGGGTGCTTTTCATCAGGGCCCCTGCACAATCAGACCCGGAGAGCACAGCCAAGTGCTGCGCTGTGGATGGATGCGATTTCTGTCACCCTTTCCTCGGCACCCCGAGCCAATCGGGCTTAATGTGCTACTGCACGGGCACCTGAGGTTTCTTTCCTCCACGGCTTTAGAGCTGCTCTTAGCATTCGATCCACA